TCCAAGTCATAGAATTTCAGAATGGTTCAGTTTGGAAGGAACCTTAAAGCTCATTTCATTCCCCCCKTGGCTGCCCTTGGATCCYTGGAAGTGTTCAAGGCCAGGTTGGACATTGGGGCTTGGAGCAACTTGGGACAGTGGAAGGTGTCCCTGCCARTGACAGGGGGTGAAATGGGATGGGATTTAAGGTCCTTTCCAGCCCAAACCACTCTGGGATTCTGTCATTTCTAAGAGGAGCAGAGTGTGGAAAAATCTTAAGTGGAAAAATCATAACCAAAATCCCAGGAGATGCTGTGGTGGCTCATAGGTGTCCCCTCTTGGTGTGTCTCCCTCTGCCAGGTCTCAGTGGTGGCCATAGCAGAGTTACACTGCCTTGGTGGGTTTGGGTTCCCTTGGCCCCCTGCCATCTCACTGCTGTGGCTGCACCAGAGCCCGTGCTGGCTTTGCCTTTGCTCCATTTGGTTGCTCCATTTTTGGATGCTCCATTTGATGACCCTCTCCTCTTGCAGCCCCAAACCGCCRCCCCCTGAGGGTGTGAAGTCCAACCCCTCCAAGCGGCACCGGGAGCGGCTGAACCAGGAGCTGAGCAAGCTGACAGGGCTGCTGCCCTTYCCCGAGGATGTGTGCTCCAGGCTGGATAAACTCTCCATCCTCCGGCTGGCCGTGGGCTACCTGAAGGTSAAGAGCTACCTGAAGGGTGAGTGTCAATGCTGGGAGGGGGGAAAAGCCCTTGGGGTTGATCCTCCCAGCTCACATCCCACCCCGAGCTTGGGGATGGAAAGTTGTGCTTCCTAAAGGCAGGATGGTTGGGAGTTGTGGGATCAGGCCCTTGGATGTTGATACCGGCAGAAAAATGTCACCATGGATGRAGGGAGCAGTTTGAGACCTCCTGTAAAGTTCCTCCAACTCGTTAGCAGCCATCTACCCCTCCTTTACATCCAAAACCCTTCCTGGGTCCCACTCCYACCACAGCCCATGGTGAAGAAGGGAGAAATGGGTAAAATAGTGTGACTTGTTGAACAGCAACATGTCCCCTCATCTGACTGGAATGGCAACTTAAATTTAAATTAACTAACTAATATGAATTCATAATATAATACATATTACACAGTCCATATTCTGTGTTCTCACATTTACCCCATATTCCTTCCTCCTCCCTCCCCATTCTCCTTCAACCCTTCATTGTTATAGTTACAGAATATATAATAAATTTTATTTATATATGGTGCAAGCCCAAGCCTTATCTCCAGGCAGGAGAGAGGCAGATATTTTGATAGATTGGTAATTGCCTTATCTCCAGGCAATTGACAGACCAGTGGGGGTGAGGTGATGCCCTGAGGCTCCTTTTTTCTCTTGTACTGCATTTCKCAAGCCATCAAGTGCAGCTTCCCTGTGTTGTCTGCATCCTGTCTGGCTGCTTGCATGAGGAGAAATCTGAGGAAGAGCACAAATGAGGGGGCTCAGGGCTTGATCTCCTGCCAGCTTTGCTGATCAGGCCCAGCCTTGGTGCTGCTGGGCAGTGATGGCAGCTCTGGTGCTATCACAGCCTGCCTTCAAGGCGCTTTGAAGGTTYTGTCACTCATGTAAACAAGGAGCGAGCCTCGCCGCCAGACTTGTGCTGAGCTCCTGTCTGCCACCCAATTTGCAGAGATTGCTGCTTGGACCCGTGTCTGACAGCCTCCCAGACAAATGTGGAGTGACTTTGCTGATCCCTGTCTCTCTGAGAGCGAGTGGCCAAGGAAAAAACTCGTCTGGGCTGTGACAGGAGCCCCACTTGCTGCACACAGGGAGATCTCATGAGAGCTAGGATGGGTTTTAGTGCTGAGTTCCAAGTTTTTAACTTGGAAAAGCTCCAGCTAGCTGGAGAGCTGTGCTGGGCTTTGTTTCCTATGGCTCCTGTAACAAAGGAAGCAGGTGCTGCAGTTGCAGATGTGGCTCTGCCAAGGGTGAGCAAGAAAAGGGGRCTTAAAATGCTCTCTGGGGTGGAGAGGATGCAATCAGGGAATGTGCTGCCATGCCTTCTACCTAGGACACCRAGCAGGAGCTCTGCAAGAGAGAGGATTGCGGAGTCCCAGACTGCTTTGGGTTGGAAACACCTCAAAGCCATCTCATTCCAACCCCTGCCATGGCAGGGACACCTTCCACGATCCCAGAGTGCTCCAAGCCCCATCTAGCCTGGCCTTGGACCAGCTTCTCTGGTGCCAGGACCTCCCCACCCTCACAAGAAACAATTCCTCTCAATATCCCACCTAACCCACTCTCTTTAAGAGCCCATGGAAAGCCCTGTCATGGTAGGAGACCACACTCCAGAGTCTGGCAAAACGTGAGATTTTCAACAGCTCCCAGTGAACAGTGAGGTACCTCCCSATCGAGCCAACCTGGCTGGAGCAGGGGCTTGGCTTAGGAGTGCTCACCAGGTCCTTTGCCAGCTCCCTTCCCAGCTGGCAGCAGGTCTCACTGGGTAATCTCACTGCAATCAGCACTAAATTAGCTTTTTTATTCATCTCCTCATTGTTTGTTGTTACCGTGGGCCAGAGCTGCAGGAGTCTGGACCTGCAGTAACTGAGGCAGTGAAAGAAGTCGAGCTCAAATCCATCCCTGGGCAAGATCCTGCAGGATTGTGTGGGATGAAGGTTTGCAGCAGCAGGTTGGAGAGTCTGGCACGGACTTGGGGATGCCAGCGCTCCCCAGGGCATTTCTGTGCTCCTCAAAAAATGCCGAGTGACTTTTCCTAATAGGTTTATAATCGGAGGGTTTGGCATTTGTCTGTTTTGCTTGGATGGTGTGAGCCTGCTCTGCTTGGCACCGTGCCTTTGTGAAACAGCTGAGGCAAAGGTTGGGGCTGATTTGCCAGAGTTTGGGATCGGATCCAAGAGGAAAACGGTTGTGCATGGCTCGGTGTTGCTGGAAGAGCTGGGAGCTCCTGGTTTTTGGGTGCCAGGCACCTCTGGAGCCTGTTCAAAGACAAGTGTTTGCCGTGGGTGAAGCTTGTGGACTCCCAGCAGGGGAGAGGCAGCCTCCATCTCCGACAGAGCTGAGACCCTTCTTCCTCCCCAAACCTTGGAGATGCTCAGGCAGCATCTCCACCTTCTCCATCAGTCACAGCTTCTGCTCTCTTCCATCCTGTGCCCTCAGATCAGCCAGGTCAAGGGATGTGAGACCTCTGGGAAAGATGAAATTCAACAGGGAGACACCAAACGAAAAAGCTTCTTCACATGATTGCCCTGTGATCCCCAAGGAAAAACATCCCATCTGGCCCATATGGCTTTGATTTGCACTTCATGGAGTGTAATAGTTTCAAAATGAGACATAGATTCTCTTTTAAAATTTGATTTCTTTTGAAGGGCTCTAAATCTCTAAAGCATTGAAATGAGGCAGGCTGGCAGGGGATCGCAAAAAGAAACAAGTCCTTCCAGAACAAAGCTCCAAAAGGGCAGTGAGCTTTTTGAGAGGGTGCACGAGAGCATGTGGTCTCCAGCTCTCTCCCATCTGCAGGCAGAGCTGCTGTGGCTCACAGAATCCAACAGGAAATACCCATTTTGTGCTTTCCAGCAGCCTCTGCCCTGCTATTTGTGTTACCTTGTGCAAGACCTTCAGCTAATTACCCTGACCCTACCTGCRTCTGTGGCCTGGCTGCTGACAACCTATGTGGGTGAGGGCTGGTTGTCACTCAGGCTCCAGGTGTAAATACATCCCAGGGATGCTTTGACTCCAAATTTGTTTTGAATTCAAACATRCCAATCCATCGGGGAARATGCTTTTGCTTTGTGATGGTTTGCTGCAGAGCAAAATGCCCCAGATCAGCAGTTTYACTTGAAACTTCTTTAGGTTCTGAATTGTTTTGGCTTCAAACTTGGTGTTATCGGGGAAGAAACAAAAAAACCTTTAAAACCTTTCAGTGGTGAAGCGAGAGCTCCTCCCATTGAGGCAATTAAATGTGTGGTCAGATTTGGGATAGTTTGAGGTTCTTCCTCACCTTCTGCGGCTCCCCAATGTTCAGAGGATCTTTCCCCTTTGGACACAGCACCATCTGACACCCAGGGCTGAGATGAAGCAGGAATCACACAGGATATGTGAGCTATGTCAGACCTCAGGGAGCTGCAGGGGCTCGTGGTGGTGGCAGAGGTSGTGTGGCTCCTACACAGGAGCCGCTTGGAGCTTTTCTGTGTTTTCTGTTTGTTGAGCTGGCACAAAAACATGCCTTGAGAGCTGACATTTGCTGGCAGCTGGGTTTGGATYGAGTTCTTTCCGTGATAATCAGCAGATAAAGCACCACGCTGGGGCCATCCCCGGGAGCTGCTGTCCTCATTCTTGCTCCCTGAACAACCGGTTCTGCGTGAGCCCCGTCAGGCTCGAGGTCCCATGAGCAGGGCAGCAGCAGGTTTGATGGTGGCTGCACCCAGGGGTGGTGCCTTGAAGGCATCCAGTGCTGGGGCATGAGGTGGCACCTGAATCAGCCTGGGGAAGGTCATGGCAGCGAGTCCTGGCAGCCAGGAGCTCTCAGGTGCTACTGGGAGTGCCACAGCCACCAACTCAGCTGCTGAGCAGCCATGGAAGGGAGAAAACAAATATGGRTGCTTTGATGGCATCTCAGGTGCTTTTGGGCGGGTTTGCCTCTGTCTTCCTTCAACCCTGAAGGACAGAATAGCAGACACAGCACCCCGGTGGGGTGGCTTGAAGGCAGCTCGAGCTCTGCCAGGCTCTGTCCCAGAGCCTCCTGGCTGTGTTGGGTGGTGTTCCCCAGCCTGGGCAGCCCAGTAGCTCTCACCTCCCCTCCATCTCTGCCTCAGGCCCTGGCAGCAGTGAGGTTTCCCAGAAATGTGATCAAGCCAGGGTAATAATCTCTCAGAGGAAGCCTTGGGCATGGCTTTATAAATGGGCTCTGTGCCAGTTCCATCTGGTCTCACCTTCCTCCACACCGAGTCCACGGGCATCCGGAATCTGTGTGAGCAGCCCTGGGGTGGGGAGGAGGAGGGGGAGKCTCCTGCCCTGCCCTTYTCACACTCATTTCTTGCCTTTTCTCTTGCAGCTACAGCTCCAAAGGCCAGCGGCTGTGTGGATCAGCCCAGAGCTCCRGGAGGGGACAGATGGATGGAGCTGCAGGGTGACAGGGAGCTGTTTCCTGAGGGGGAGCTGCTGCTCCAGGTATGGTGCTGTGGCTTGGTGGTTGGTGATCTTCCCAAGCAGCTCTGGAGCCTGTGGTGCCATCTATGGAGCGAGAGGAGAGCCTGCCTTGCCCAGAGCTGCTTTGCTGTGATCCTGCAGGCACTGAATTCCTAGAGTGACACCATCCTGCTGGGATGGGTCCAGATCCCCATTCCCAACATTCCCTCTCATCTCCACCACAGTTTGCTGCCCCTTTGATTGTGTCACGGACCCGCGCTCCATCCCAACCAAGGGGTTCAGGGATATCCTATGGTGGTGTAGGGCTTGATCCCTGATACTTCCCAGGGTGCTGGGTTGGTTCCTTGCTTTTAGCAAATGCCAAGAGGAGAATGGTGATAGCTGCAGGATGAAATATCCTGCAGGAACTCCTTGCCCTACCTGAGGCATGAGTTCCACAGGGATGAGTTCACAGCCTGCCTGGGAAAAGCCCAGCTGCAGTTTGTAGGTTGTGGAGCCTTAAAGGTCACCTCATTCCACTCCCTGCCATGGGCAGGGACACCTCCCATTGTCCCAGGGTGCTCTGAGCCTTGTCCAGCCTGGCCTTGGACACTGCCAGGGATCCAAGGGCAGCTACAGCTTCTCTGGGCACCCTGTGCCAGGGCCTCCCCACCCTCAGAAGGAAGAATTTMTTTCCAATATCCCATCTAACCCTGCCCTCTGGCAGCATAAGCACCCCTAGTCCTATCTCTCCCAGCCCTTGTAAAAAGTGCCTTTCCAGCTCTCCTGTAGCTTTTCTGGGCCTTCAGTCCTCCCACCTCTCCAAACACCAGCAGATGTGTGCTTGGCTCTCCTTAAGCCTGCCTTTGGTCCYTTCAGCCCTGCTCCTGCAGAGCTGTGCAAGCAGACCCCCAGCAGGAGCYTCCATGTGGGATTTTGGCTAGGCAGTGACTCCTGGGAGCTCAGCGTGACTTTTGGCAGCAAATCGTGGACCGAACAAAGTCATCGAGGCAGGGCTCASTCCCAGCTGCCTGCCAGAGCCTTGGTCACAGAGGAGCAGCTGAAAAGGCAGGACAGAGGCCCTGGCTGCTGCAGTGCCAGCGTGGAGCTGCTCTTGAGCCCTCCAGGGGCTTGGACTTGGACCATGTGATGGCAATCTGTTGGCAGGCTGGGGTGGGGTGATTGAAGGCATCTGGAGAGCTTATGAGGTGTGAGTGTGATAGAAATCCCCCAGCTGAGCTCTCTGGTGGCTTTGTTTCCCCCCCACGAAGATCATTTTAATCACATACTGTAATTTGCAGAAAACTCTGACTCAGGGTCCCTCAGGGGGCTGCAGCACACAAAGGGAAGGGTCTGGTCCTTCAGAAAGCAAGRTTTGTACCCTAGGTTTCCATCTAGGGTGTTCTTTTCCTGATTGCTCTCCTGCTAGTCTCTAATAAATTCAACACATTGCAGTCAAGAGCAGAGGGCAAGAGTTATTGTCTAGTGCAGTGCTTTGCTTTTGGGGAAAATCAGCCTGAAATGGTCAGGAATCAYAGAATATCTCAAGTTGGAAGKGACCCATAGGGATCATCATGTCCAGAGCAGAGCCCCCATTCCCAGCTGGAGAGGAGGAAATCAAGTCCAGGTCCTCCATCAAACCTCTCCTGAGCTGGTCCCTCCTGATGCAGGAGCTGCTGCCTTGCAGTGAGAGGGCTTTGGAGAAAGTGGACACTCCAGCTTGGATCATTGCTCATGCTGGGAACAAAAAACTCCACAGAACTGAGTCTTGCACGGTTTCCAGGTGCTTTCATGCTTTGTGGGGCTCCTTGTAGAGGAAGAAGGATCCTTCCTGTCCCTGAATGCTGAMGGAACAGCTGGGGGGTTTCATGTGTCAGCAGCTGGATTGAAGCTGGAGAGAGTAACCCTGGGCTGAACCTCTGCTTTCAGGCACTCAATGGATTTGTCATCGCCGTGACTGGGGATGGCTACATCTTCTACATCTCCCCCACTGTGCAGGACTACCTGGGCTTCCACCAGGTGAGTGCTGTGTTTTCCTGCCTGGGAACGGATGGGTGCAGCCCAGCTTGGGAAGGAGGTGCAGATGGGGAGCAGAACTTCCCAAATGGCAGGGAAAGAGCTGAAGTTTCAGCATTTCCCAGTAAGCACTGAGAGCCAGAGGCAGTGTGAAACATCCTTGGAAGGGCTGGGTAACACCAGAACTTCAGCCAACAGCAGGAGAAYCTCAGCCTGGACAGTGTGGGACAGCTCTGCATGGCCATGGTGAGGGAATGCTGGGGCAGTCCTAAGCAGCCAGGGTTACCTGGACATTGCTGTTTCTACTGCTTCCAGAAAGCTCTAAGTCATTCCCAAATTTCCTCAGGTAGACCCCCTATCTGCTCCCTTTTCCTCCTTTCTGATCCACCCCAAAAGGACCAGCCACTCYTGATCCTCGCTCTCCACGCAGCTCACAAGGCTTGCGATGTTTGCTTGTTGTTCASGCTCCATCCCTGCACTCTTAGTGGCCATGACAGGACACCGTGTRCCATGTCCTCCTCCAGACACCTCTGCCAGGCTGCCCAGGAGTGGCCACTGTTCCCTTGTGTCGTTGCAGTCGGATCTCATCTACCAGAGCGTGTAYGAGCTGATCCACGCAGACGACAGGRCCGCCTTCCGCCGCCAGCTGCACAGGGCCCCGCCGCTCGCCGCTGACAGTGAGTGCCAGGGTGATCCCTGTGGGAACACTGGGGGCTCACCGRAGGGGCCTGAGCYGTGAGCTCAGGGTGTGCAGCACAGYTTGGAAAGCTTCCTTTTCCCATTGATTTGCCAGCATTTCCCCCTGAGCAGCCGCCGCTGTCCAGCCCCCAGCAKGTCCATGCTGAGAAGCAATCCTTCGCAGAGAGGAGCTTCACCTGCCGCTTCCGCTGCCTGCTGGACAACTCTTCGGGGTTCCTGGTAATGCAGCCCCATGCTGGGACACCCGTTTGCTTCTCCTCTGCCCCCAGAGCCACTTGTGTCCCGCAGGGATCAGAGCACGGCCAGTTCCCACCGCCCTGTTTGCTTCACACCCACATTTTCTAATCCCCTGCAAGGCCTTGAATTTCCGTGGGCGCCTGAAGCTCCTCCTTGGGCAGCAGAAGTCAGCAGCTGAGTCAGACAAGTCCCCAGTTGCTCTCTTTGCCATTGCGACGCTCCTGCAGCCTCTCTCCATCCTGGAGCTCCGCACCAAGACGCTGATCTTCCAGACAAAGCACAAGCTGGATTTCACTCCCATGGCTTGTGATTCCCGGTAAGGCATCTCTCGCTTTGCCCATGGCTGAATCCCTGGTGCTGAACAGGAAACTAGACCTGCTGGGGACAAGGATCTTCWGACCCAGCTCCCATGGCCCGATGCTTTTATTTCTCCCCAGTAACACAGGGAGCTGCTTAACTGGGCGCATGCACTTCTCTGCTGTGCTWTAGGTGGTGTTGGGGAGCAGGGGATGCAGCCCAGCCTGGGATGCACCACCCAAAGTGGGAGTGTGGCCAGTGGGGTGCATCTTTCGGGGATCCATCCCCAGTGTCASTGGGCTCCTGTGCTGTTTCCAGGGGGAAGGTTGTGCTGGGATACACGGAGATGGAGCTGTGCAGGAGGGGGTCCGGATACCAGTTTGTGCACGCGGCTGACATGATGCACTGCGCGGAGCACCACGTTAGGAGTGAGTACTGGGGGGCTGTCGGGGTGGGGGTGTTTGTGGGGTCCCTCAGGGCTCTGGCCTTGCTCTACTGTTGCTGTCCCAGGGCTGGAGTAGCTGTGATAAAGGCTCTTGCTCCTGGATGAGCTGGGGGAGCTGGGAGGGAGCCAGCACCCTGCGTGTCCTGCCCCACAGCACAGGCATGAGGTGATACTCGCCCCTCRTGGCATCTTGCACGTGTCATTTGTCTGGCTCTGTGGAGGAGCTCTGTCTGTTCCACCTGTCTCGTGTCCCTGTGCAGTGATGAAGACGGGGGAGAGCGGGCTGACGGTGCTCCGGCTGCTGACCAAGAGGGGCAGCTGGGTGTGGGTGCAGGCCAACGCGCGGCTGGTGTACAAAGGGGACAGGCCCGACTGCATCATCACCCGCCAGCGAGCCCTGTCGTGAGTACTGCTGGCTCTCTTCACCTGCTCTGGGCCAGGGGGGCTGCCCGGGCCACCAGGGTGGAGCAAAGGGGAGCTGGGCTTGGCAGCATWTGCAGCATTTGTCCTCCTGTGGGGTGAGTGAAATGGCTCTGAGGAGGGGCTTGTGGCCATGCTCCCTTCCCTGAGCCATGCAGGCCTCTCCGTGGGCTCCCCTGAGCCCTCTGTAGCTAGCCCAATCCTCCCCCCTTTCCCTCTAGACAAGCCAGGCCAGGCTGGAGCTCCCCCCTTGCTGTCAGAASGGTGATTTTGCCTGGCTTGGAGGAGTTGCTCACTGTTTCCATCTCTTTTTGCCTCCACACCAAAGGAACGAAGAAGGGGAGGAACATCTCCGGAAGAGGAACCTGCAGCTGCCTTTCAGCTTTGCCACGGGGGAAGCAGTGTTGTATGGGAATGACCTTCCTGGGGTCTTGCACTCTTTCCAAGCCAAGGAGGAGCTGCAGACACGAGCAAACCCCAGCCCGGAGCAGCGCTCGGTGGACCCCAACTCTCTCCTTGGGGCCATGATGAAGCAGGATGCATCCATATACAGCTCCCACACTGATAACGTGCCCCAGCTCTCCTTGCCAGGTTTCCTGCCTGAGCCCGATGGGCTGAGCCACAGTGAGGACATCAGCAGTGCCAAGGAGGACAGCAACTCCCTCCTGGTGGTCATCGAAACCCTCTTTGAGAGGGGCGAGGTGGGTGGGAAYGCCTGCCAGAGCCTCAGGATGGACAGCACAGAGCTGCAGCAGTGGGAGGCRGCTCTGCTCAGCTTGGGGGCAGAGGAGCAGCTGCCAGCTCAGGGCCTTGGCAACAGGCCGGCCACCAAGGTGACATCCTGCATGGAGCAGCTGCTCCTCAGCGAGGGCACTGGCAAGAGTGTGGGCTTCCCYCACTGCCAGGAGGAAAACAGTGCTGTGGCTCACTTCCAGCATTGCTGGGCAACGGAGTCAGCATTCCCAGCCCAGCCCCGGRCACAGGGCRYACCGGGAGGCCCAGGGGCTGTGGGCTCTGCAGTCTCTGTGAGCTTGGAGGGCAGCTCTGCCCAGCCAGAGCAGCAGGACCCCTTTCACTCAGCCAGGAGGGTGGCAGGGACTGTGCTGGGTGTCCCTGTGTCCAGCAGCGAATCCTCTGTAGTGCTGCAGCACTTCAACCAAGCGTTTCAGACAGAAGTGACCCCCTCTGCTCCCACAGATAACACTGTTCCTGGTGCTCAGAGCCAGCCTGGCTGCCAGCTGGTGGGCTCAAGCTSTCCACCCACCCTGCACTCAAACACATTGGTGACTCCTTGGCACAATGTCCCCCTCCAGGCAAATCCAGCTTGCATGGCCACAGCTCCAAAACAGCTGGAAGGTGCAGGAACGCACATGGAGTCCCAAACCCTGCCAGCTGGCAGCCCCAAGAGCCCCCCMGGGGCCGGGCTGTGGTTGCCATCCCCCTCCCAGTCTGTTCCWTGCCCTGCCCAGGGCTTGCACGAGTCCTTGTTCTCTGGGGATGGGAACCTCTGTGCTGAGGAGGCTGCTCTCCCTGCACGAGCATCAGCACCCATGGGAGCCAGCCATATGCCAGGGGCTGGTGGCTTTCCCCAACAGCCCCCGATAGCCCACGTGGAGCCCTGCTTCTCCTGGGCAGGGCAGCAGGCAGGGCTCCAAGAGGACAAGTGGTTCACCCAGCTGTGGYTCCCGCAGGCTGGGGCAGCTCCTCCGAGGAGCCATGGGGCAGGGCCAGTGCCCCAGAGCGGGCTCCTGCTGGGCTCCAGCCCTGATCCCAGTGCCCACGGGATGGACTGCATTGTGCTGCCCGAGTGCCAGTATGGGAACAGCCTCTTCAGGCATGAGAGCAGCTTCCCGAGGGATGCTTCCAAAGCACCCCTTCCCCAGCAGCCGGGCACTTTGCCTTGCCCTGCTGAGAACCCCCATGGAGCCTGCCACTGCTCACCAGGCTCAGTTTCAAGGTGCTCAGCAGCTGTCCCTGTGAAGGTGGGTGTAGGAGCACCCCCGTGCTCCGGGCAGGGTCCTGGCTGCCCGTCAGTTCCCTTCTCAGCTGGGCCCCTCTGTGCCTGTGAGGTCCAGCTCAAGGTGAGGTGCGAGGGCTGCAGGACCTGAGGGGCTCACGTGGAGAACCCTAACTCACACTGTCCTTTGGGGGCAGCCTGCTTTGAGGCTCACAGTGAACCAGGAGCCCTGTCTTGGAAAGCCACCAGCAGCTGTGGGTCGTCTCCTACCTGCCAGTGGTGCCCCGAGCTCCCTGGTCTCTCAGGATTTTGTCTTCCAGTGCTGTCAGGCAGTCTAAGATGAAGTGGTTTGGACTTTTTTTTTATAGGTGACAAGTCTTTCAGGGAGATGCAGCGATCCCACCAGTGAGGCTTGTGGGCTCCAAGAAAAGACGATGCTGGCACATCCATGTGCTTGGRGCAGCCTCTTGCAGCTGGAGCTGCTGCCTCAGGAGCAGGTAGCACTGAACTGCTGGTTCTCAACAAAACACAGTGGGGTTGCCTCATTTCCTGTGTGTGAACCACCCTTGTTTGATCCCCTGCATCATCTCTGCCTGCCCGAGCCTCTCTCCCTCCTGCACTCTCCCATCTCCTCCAGAGAATGACCCAAACACTTTGGAAAAGGGGTGTTACGGAGCACTTTGGGAAGCTCAGCAGCATTGAAAGGTCTCGTCAGGAGATGGAGTTGGTGGGAGTGAAGGCACCTCAGAGGTTTGGGCTCTCCAGCAACCTTCCTGAGGAATTTAGGAGAGTTGGGTTACAGGTTGTGACCTTTCTAGGATGCAGGGTGAGGAAGGTCCAGCCAAGCTCCCCTTGGGTTTGTCCTTGCCTTCCTTTCAAGCAGTCCATGAGTGTCATCTGGCTGAGGAACAGTGAGGTTTCCTCCTGTGCATTTGCCCTAGCAATAAGAAGGAAAGGCAGGGAGGGATGCAGTGACCACTGGCTGCCTCTCCTTTTCAGACCCACTTTGTGCCCCTCAAACCGTTGTCTTTCAGCCCAGCACAACCACCTTGTTGAGTTCCCTTTCTTCTCTGTCTTTGTAACCTAAGATGTGAATTAATTGGGTTTTTCCTCAMCGTGAGGCAAATGCTCACAGATCCATCAGGGAAACCCACAGAAAAAGCAATGACTGGGGAGCGTGGAGCTGATTTGAGACCACGCTGGCTTGCAACAKTGGGGCATAGAGATCAAAGTGGCTGGGGATACTCACACCTTCCCCTCATGCACCCATACACCCACCCCAAATTGGCCTGGAGGAGCACATGGGATGGAGCAAGAAGTCGATGCTCCAGACCCAAAAAGCAGCAGGATGGACTCTGCTCACCAGCCTCTGTGCTCTCAGCACGTCTGGATCGGCGCTGGGGGTGCCAGGGGCTCCCATTCCTACAGGAGATGGGGTTTGGGGTGGGGGCACTACTGCTTGGGGCCGTGACAGCTCTTTCCCCGTGCTCTGTTACTACTCYCTGGTCTCTCTGTACCTCGAGGCTGTGCAGATAAAATCTGTTCTGGTGGCAGCGTCTCATTTTCCGCTCGGTGATTTCTTTGTGCTGMTGGTGGCAGCCGCAAGATGCTGAGGAGAAAAGAGCTGTCCGGAGCCTTGCCCCCTCTGTCGGCAATGTATTAAAGGCGATTTGCTCTCTACGGTGCTGATGTTTGTTTTGACCCCAAACCGTACCTCTCCATTTCATCTTTGAGCAAGAGTTGGGGGAAAGCTTTGCCCTGGTGCTGGGTGTGTGACACTCTCATTCTCACTGTCCCCAGCCACTGTGGGTATGCACAGCAGCAGAGCGGTGACAGTGTCCCCCCACTGCACCCCCAAACCGCCCTGTGAGGCTTGCAGGCAGAGTTACACTTAGCGCTGACACACATAGTTGTTACGATCTGATTAATAAAAAATAATAAGATGTTTCTGACCGAAATGAGGTGTAAACGACACCACATGCCAGTGTCAATAGTACGGATTTTTACTGAATGGAAGCCGTGAGAGGGAATAGAGGAGTGTGGAGAGAAACTGACAGAGAAACAGACCAAGTAGAAAAGAACTACCACAACTCTGCAGATTTCAATGAGGTTCCGCTCGTCCTCTTAACTTCTCGGTGTCTTGCACACTGTATGCATAGAGGGTTGGGGGAAAGGAGTCCAACAAACCTCAGTCCGTGGAGTTTGTATTATGCTGAGGCRACCTGGGTCGGGGGCTTCACCCTGGATAATATTGTGTGGATAATATTGTGGATCACGGGACACTTGGGGACCCCTGACACCTTCTGAGGTGTCGCAGCTGTCTCCGAGTGAGCAGAGTTGAGCTCATTATGGCCCCTCAGTCGAGAAGGGTACTTTCATCTCATGTGTAAATGTCCCCGTCCAAGTGAAGTTTTCACAGCTGGGCCATTCTGTGAGGGAGGACACGGGCACGATGAAGACTCACCGCACCTCGCTGGATTTGCGCTCCTCAGCCTCTTCCCTTGTGTGCAGCCGCAGTTGGCAGCCGGAGGTGTGTGCACCCTGCTGCACCGCTCAGTGCATCCCTGGCGAAGCAGCGGCTGGATWGTTGGAGCCATCAGCACCCTACATCCCCACCCACACCCTTTGCACGGCCAAATCCCCCTCCAGCACCCTCTTCTCGCCACAAATCCCCGCGCATTCCTACGCGCATCCTTCATCATCCTCTGCACCTTCCACTCSCTTCCACACCCCAAATCCCCTTCABCCCCCTTCGCCTCCTCATTGACCCCCTCATCCCTCCCTCCCACCCACCATCCCCTCTCTCCCTCACCTCCACCCCATCAACTCCCACTCCCCCTTTATCCCCCAATCCCATTTCATCTCCCTCACACATCAGCCCTTCCATCATCACCCCCCGCCGCTCCCGATCCCCGCGCAGCCCCCAATCCCCCTCGGCCCTCCCGTCTCCCCCCTCGCTGAGGGCGGGCCGGGCCGTTCGCTCTCCCTCTCCCTCTCTCAGCCGCGCTGCCTCTCCCCCTGAGGGAGCAGCRGCTCGGGCGCTGCCGGCCCGGCCATGTACGCGGGGCGCAGGCGGAGGAAGCCGGCGCCGCGGGCGTGAGTGGGGGCGAGGGGGTCCCTGTTCCCCGGCTAACGCGGCTGAGGGGCTCAGGGGCCGGGGCAGGGCTGGGGGGTGTCCCTTCCCCGGCTAACGCGGCTGTGCCCGGCAGGACGCGGTTGAGGGGCTCAGGGGGCTGGGGCAGGGCTGAGGGGGTCTCCATTCCCCGGTTAAAGCGGGTGAGAGACTCGGGGAGCCGAGGAAGGGCTGAGGGGGTCTCTATTGCCCAGCTAACGAAGCTGAAGGGTTCAGGGGGCTGGGGAAGGGCTGAGGGGGTCTCCATTCCCCGGTTAAAGCGGGTGAGAGACTCGGGGAGCCGAGGAAGGGCTGAGGGGGTCTCTATTGCCCAGCTAACGAAGCTGARGGGTTCAGGGGGMCGRGGMAGGACCGAGGGATCCYCTCTCCCGGCTAACGCGGCTGTACCCGGCAGGACGCGGCCGGGCCCGGSCGAGGGCGGTGGCTCCAACCCGTCCAAGCGGCACCGGGAGCGGCTGAACCGGGAGCTGGAGCGGCTGGCGGGGCTGCTGCCCTTCCCTCCCGACGTGGTGGCCGGCCTGGACAAGCTCTCGGTGCTCCGCCTCAGCGCCGGCTTCCTGCGCGCCAGGAGCTTCTTCAGCGGTGAGGGATGCGTCGCTTTGCTCCCGGGAATCGCGTTCCCCGTCCCCGGAATTCCTGGAATTGCGTGGTGTCCCCCCTCCTCCTTAACTTCTGGAAGTGTGTCATCCCCTCCCGGGATGTTGCTGCACCCCTCAGTAATTACTTTCTCCAAAATATTTTGTGTGTTTGTTTTTCTCCACATAATTTTTTCACCTATTCGGGTTTTTTTTTGTTTTTTTTGGTGGGTTTCCTCCACCAAAATCTTGTTTTCTTTCCCTCCCCCAGAATCGTGCTTTTTTCCCCCCTAGAATTGTTAGGGTTTCCTCCCCGCTTCCAGGAATTTTGTATCTTCCTCTCCTAGAGTTTCCCCCCGCCCCGAATCTTGTGTTTCCCTCCGCTAATTTTGACGGGTTTTCCCCTAGCTTGAATTGTGTGCGTTTCCCACAATCGAATGTTTGTGTCTACAGCAGCGTCGATAATTGTTTGTTTGTTTCTTTCTCTTGAAATTGATTCATTCCTTCCGTTTCGAATTTGTGGGATTTTCCCTTTTCCCTCTCCTCCTCGAATTTTGCTGCGGTTTTTTTTTCCCCTCGAATTTTGAATTTTGCGACTCCTTCCCATCCGAATTTTTTTTTTGTCCTCCTCAAATGGTTCTGGGTTTTACTCCCCCGAACTTTGTGTCTTTCCTGTCTTTACCCCCCTGAAATTTTGCCGTGTCTCCCTGGAATTTTGTTTCCCTGTCCCCGCGAATATATTGCTCTTTAACACCCCCACCCCCCCTCACACAGACACGAATTTCATCTCTTGCTCTCCAGAATTTTAGGGCTTTTCCCYCTTTCTAACCCATATTTCCTCGCTGTGCCGTCTCCAGCAGTCCAGCACTCCCTGGGGATCGGAGGGATCTGGAGAGATGGAGTTGATTTTGGTTGTGGGTTCCTCTGAAGGAGAAAATTCTGTTTTCTGAGGGAGGGTGAGGCAGAACCTTGTGCTGCCCGGCTGGGAAGTTTCCTCATGGAAGTGACTTTTTTCCCCTCTGTTACGATAGACTCGGTGTGCTGGCAGTGAGCAGMAATTCCCTTTGATGTGCGTGCAGTTCATTTGGAAACCTTTTATTTTTGAGAACCATTCTGCTGTAACTGTAATTAAGAGCAGCCCTCAGGAGGGCATTGAGGCATCCCTGAATATTCCTGGTGGAGTAGCAGAAAAGGCTGCATTTTCGGGCCACAGAAAGACTACAATTTCTCTTTGAATATATTCAATGCTTCTTTTTTTTATTTTCCTCTCCTTCTTCACTGTCTTTTAACCCCGCTTAAAGATTGGCAAATGGGTGAGCTGGAAAAGGAATGGCCTGGGAGAGTTGTTTCCCTTGCAGCACCGGGTCACCAGGAAATTCACTGTTCTGAGATTGCCTCGTTTTATCTTTTTTCCCTTTCRCCCCCGCCCCCATCATTCCATCTGRTTTAATTTCACAGCACGGGTTTCCCGACTCTCTGAGGCTATGGGAGGGATGGTGCCGCCCTCTCTGGGCTTTGAGGAAGGTCGCAGTYGTTCAGGTGTGGCAGGGAAGAAGGAAAGCTTCATCCCTTCAAGAGCAAATAGCGATTGCAGAACTAGTTGAGCCGTTCTTGATGCTTTGAAAGAAAATGACAGTTAAAAAGAAGAGTCCTTAAGTAGGGCTCTGGGCAAGCTCATCAACAAAACATCAACAAAAAYTGATTTCAAGTGACTGTTTATTTATTTATTTATTTCTCTGCTTGGGCACTCCCGGAAAGCAGGGACAAAAACTGGGATGTGCTGCCATGGATTGTGAGGAGAAACAGCTGAAGTAGCTCTCAGGTATTGCCCATGATTTTGCTGACAGCAATTCACCCAGCGGATTTATGCCACAATAAATAAATAATTATTGATKTATTAATTATTAATAGTTTTAAATTTTATTTCGGTATCTTGGTTTATGTATTGCTGATATCTGGGGAAGTTTGTATGGGCTTAAAGGTCTTTGATTTTTAAAGACACGTGTTTCCTTGGCACATGAGGATTTTTGTATGAAAGATGAAGCTGTCCCTGCTGCCTCTGTGCCTGTCTGGGTGCACAATTAAAGGCCTGCAGTTCAGTAGTGGAATCGGAGGATTTAAGGCTGCTCAGTGTTCTGCTGTTTAATCTTTGGAGTGGTTTAGAGATCACTGAATGCTGTCTCTGCTAAGCAGGGTTATTTACCCAAACAAACCCTTCCTCAGGCTGATGGGCTGGGCTGGTGGCTCTGCTGTGACTCTRCTGCCACCCTGATGCCTGGTGGTGGCTCTCTGCTGCTCTTTGGAAGAGTAAAGRACAAGAGCATCTGTGTGTGTTTGTCTGCTGACTCCAGTCCATTCTGTTCCACTCAAATCTCCATTTTAACAAGGCAGGAAAGCAGCTGAGTGCCAGGTGTTTGCCACGTGTGTTCAGCATCTCTGGGCAAGCAGGGATCTCAGCCAGGATCTGCTGCTCTGTGGTGGGTTGGAAGAGGCCTGTTWGGTGATGGGGCAGCATCGCTGCCCTCTGTGACATTCCCAGGTGCCTTTCCCTCTCCCCACTGCCTGACTTTGCAATCCCAAAGTGCTTTCTGCCCGTGGGAGCACTGCTTACCGTGAAAGAGGTGAGCTTGGAAGGGGGAGCAGGATCACAGGAGGGAGGGATGGAGACATTGGGGGAGGTGTTCTGCCAGGCAGTGGGATATCCAACCCATCCCACCCCACATCCCATCTTGCTGGAGAAGCAGCACGGACCAGAACCCCGCACCTGGACCAGGGGGACCAAAAGGAGCTGAGGATGGCATCCATCTGAGGCTCCTGTTCAACCCCAAGTGCCACCCGGTTTCAGGGCTTGTAGCTCCTCCTTTCCCATCCAGATCTCTTCCTCTATAACACTCCTCCCGAATGTCTTATTCCTTTTCCTCCTTGGTGAGCAAATATTTTTAATTCTGATTAGCCACCTTGACATTCCTCCCTGCTCTGCTGGGGTCTCTTTCTCTTTCAGGGGTTCAGTAGGGGTGGCATTGTGCTGCAGAACACCTCCCTGTCCCCTAGTCCATGCCCTGCTGTCGGTGGCCGTGCCACCACTGCCGCGGGGTGACCACAGCAGGTCACACCAGCTGTGTGCCAGCAGCTTATCCTGGTGGTGCCTGGTGGGGCTGCTCCCCTCTAATCCCTCCCTGTTCCTCCCCTCAGAGCGAGGGCCCAGCAAACATTGCTGCCTGGGGAGGAGGGGTCCCCGTCCCTTCTGCCTCCCTCATCTCCTGGGAAAGGAGAGAGAAGGGAAGGTGCTCCGGGGGAAGGTTTGCTGTCTCACTCTGCATGAGGATTTCTGATCAGAAAAGGGAGATGCCTCAAAGGCACCTTGTCATGTGGCTGTCGGGTACCATCTGTGCCGCTTGGGCCACTTAAACTCCTGGTGGGAGGTCAATTGGCAGATGTCACAACGGCCCAGGGCTCACTTTGGAGAAGTGTCTGTCACAGCGTGTTCCTGCAGCTGGGGGAGGCCATCCACGCTGTGCTTTCCATCCTGCAGCCAGCCTGGCACTTCTGGTTGGTGTGAGTGGCCCCTGCTGAGCACTCACTTGCCCCTGGGTGCTCTGTCCCTGTCACAGACCTGTGCCTCATGTTCAGTGATTGACCTGTGGAATTTCTCTTGACGTTCTGAATCAAGTCTAGGGTTTATGAGCTGTAGGAAGAGATCAGTCCAGGGTGCCAGGAACTGCATGTCTGAACCCACAGGAATGGGCTAACTCTGCCTTGAAGTGGCAATCCTTGGAGAGGCAGATATATCCTGCCTGCAGCTCTGGGCTTGCCAGCCTCTGGACAGCTCAGGTGCATCCGTGGCTGGGAGGAAAGGAGGGAAAYACCCTGGCATGGGTTGTGGCCTTAGAAACTTTTGGCTCCAGAGGGACTGTTGTCTGCACAGTCCGTGATTGTGGTTCAGAGAGTTGTTCTGGGCTCTGTGCAGGTTCGAGCTCTGCGTAGCTCTGTTTTACATGGCAGCCTACGGCTGTGTGCCCAAAACTTAATCAGCTTGCCTCTCCTATGTATCTGTGAGAGATAACACTCGTGTGAATGTTGAGGGCTTGGGGATCTTCCCAGAGTCCTCTTAAAATCTAGATGGCAGCCTCGGGGCTGAGCCTCATCCTTTGGACTGGGATATGAATCCAGGTTGTTATTGCTGGAGCTGGGATGGCCCAAAAGGTGCCTCAGCTGCAGTCAGGTCAGGCTGGAAAAGTGAATTATCTAATTATTATAGACTATATAGCTGTGCCCCAAAACCTCTGCTTAGGGATGACAGTTTGAAATGGGGCATGTGGGACTGGCATGGCTCATCGTTTCCCTTGTGTGCTCACCCTCATGAGCTTTTTGGCCAAGCACTGCAGAGCTGCGCAGTGAAGCCTAAGGGCTGGTTTAAGAAAAATAAAGCCTGGTCCTGTGATCACCCTGCTCTCTTAATTGCCTAGGYAATGAGCAGTTAAAGCTGGAGAAGTCTTGTGACTTCTCTTAGGTAGGCAGTTTCCCTGCTGCTTTCCTGGCCAAGTGTTTTTCCCTGACTCTCAGGAGAGCAGTGGGTAGGAAGCTGCTGGAGCTCCCTGGGATTCACAGCAGCTCCTTGGGGCTCCCTGCATTGCTGCCTGCCAGCAGCTGGGCTGTCCCAAGGATCATTCCAAGGCAGGTGTGGCAGCAGAGCTGGGAAGGAAATCCAGGCTGAGGTTTTGGGCTGGGGTGATCCTTGCTGGCCCAGTGGAAGGTGTCCCTGTGCACAGCAGGGGAGTGAAACCACATGGTGTTTAAGGTCCCTTCCAACCCAAATCATTGTGTGATGGACACTACAGCTCCTGAGGGGTGAGCAGTGGCAGAGGGAGGGTTCAAACCACTGTAGATGCTGCAGGAAGGAGGGAAAGCCTCACAAGTCCTTGTCATCTTTGTCCTTGTTTAAACTCCTGCACGTGCTTCTCCCTCTGAGACCCAAGTGACACAACTAAAAGCTACACGTAGTCAAGGCCTTCTTGCTTCTAAAAGTGCAATGAGATCTTTTAAGAGGCCATCCATTATTAACCACGAGCATTCTTGGAAGGTGGTGTATCTACACCATTCAGGCAGGGATAAATAATTCATCTATTTAATTAAATTTTTGCCAACAGGGAGCTGGGGCAGGTATGAAGTAAAACCATAGTATCCATTATGAATTAACAAATGGGAAGTCAGGAAGTATTCGCCAGTGGCTGGAAAATGGGCTTTGTACAGCTCTGATGCGAACCCAGCTGATGGTTCAGCAGGGCAGGGAGAAGATGGCTCTGTGGCCTGCTGTCAGCAAATCTGTGCCCACTTCCCCCACCATTTCCGTGATGCTTTCTAAATTTCCAGTATTTTCTCTTACTAGCAGGTAAAAAACGATTTTGAAGGGTTATTTGATGTGAGGGGGGTGTGCCAAGCAGCAGAGCGCCAGATTTCTCTGCCGGTGAGCATGGAGAAACTGGAGAGATGGGTGGGAAAGGGAGACCTGGAGATCCGGAGATCCACTAGTGGGAGTAGAGAATTTCCTGTGAGGCAAGACCACCTCTTCAGGGGATTGGCACAAATGACAGAAAGTGAGAGGTGGATAAAAGGCAGTTTTATGAATAAATTGATCGATCCTTCCCCCAGAGTGGCTGATACATGCTGGGGTGTTTGGCAGAAGGCTTGCAGGGAGCACCATTACCAGAATCCTTCTCTCTCCACTCTCCAAGACCTGCCCAGACTGCCAATAGCCRTGCACATGGCCCAGCCCTTGCCTATAGCTCTTGAAGAGCCAGGAAACAGTTTGGTTTCCTTCTCTTGCRTCAACACCTGGGCCAGGTTTGCGATTGAGTTGTCTCATTCTCCTCCTTCACAGTCAGCGGCTGATGTGAAACTCTGCTCCCCCTGGGAGCTTTTGCCCTCTAGAGGGAAGGGGGCTGGGAGATATCCTCTCAAAAATGTTAATTCCTGCTTGGTGGTGCAGAGATTTCCCAGGTCTGCAAAGCCCTGGCAGGTTCAGGAGTTCACTGGCAAACCTGGTAGGCAGCGAGGTGTCACGTCCCACGTGAAACAGCTTCCCAGGATGGGTGCTGGGGGAGGCACCTGGAGCTGGAGGGAGGGGGAAACCTGGTGGCCTCTCCTGGCGACAGCTCAGGGCCAGGTGGCAGAGACTTGGAGAGCACCATGTGTGAGGATGACCACGGGGGAGGGAGCATCCTCCTCGTGTTCCCTAGGGATGGGAGAGATTCTCTTTGTCTCAGCTAAAAGGCTTTTCATGGCCAAATAGCCTGCAGGTCCTGGCAGGAGCTGTTTCTTGGAAGAAATAGCAGGAATGCTGTGCAAGCCTTGCTGCTCTCAGGTGACCAGTTTCTCCTCACCTTTCTCCCTCCAGCAACAAAGGTGATGCTGGTGGCCGGAGGGAGGAAGCCCAGAAAAAGCCACCCCTCTCCCCTTTTTCCCCTCTTTTTTCCTGCATATGCCTGTCCCCGGTTATGCAGTGAGGGCAGAGCYCACACCTGGTGTTGCTGGCCTAGATGAAGGTGAGTGCTGTGCTGGGAGGAGGGCGAGTGCTGGAAGTGTATCCCACCTTTCCTGGTGCCGAGCTCCAGGCGGGATGCGGGATACGCGCGGCAGGGAGGACGTGGCGGTTCCCCAGCTCCTTCTGCTTCGTCAGCCTGATGTGCTGTGACACTTGTGCTGAATTGCTGACCCCAGGGGCTGCACGGGGCTATTTATGGACAGACAAATCCRGAGGACACCAGGCGGGCTGCCAGCATGGCGTGGCCGTAGCCAAGAGCCCAGCATCTCTGGGGATCCTCGGGTGGGAAAGGTGCCGTTTGGTGAAGGTCATGTGGAAACCTCCGCGGGAATTCAKATTTATCCTTCGTGCCCCAGTGGCTGGATCCTGTTTGGTGCAGCCAGCCCCACGGAGGACAGTGGGCCATCCTCTGCTGGTAACGTGCTTCCTCTGGCCCCAMAGCTCAGGTGCTGATAGCAAAGCCTATTTATTTTTAGGGATCAAGATTCCCTTTTGCAGGGATAATATCAAACCATTAAACCAGACCTCTGAGTAGGGGGCAGCACCTTTAGCTGCTCTCCTGTCAGCCAGGTATATTTTTATCTCTCACCTCCAGCACAGCAGGCTGGCAGCTCACAGAGGAGGACTGGAGACCTTTAATAATTCATAGCTCCTACATTTTGCTCCCAGCAATTGGAAAAGCAAGTTGCTGGAAGGATGCTGGCACAAACCTGCTCCATCCACACCTTGGTGTTGTTGTGGCCTCTACCTGGGTGTTGTGGCCTCTGTCACGCTGCTCTGCCTGGTGGYCTGTTCCTCTCCAAGGTTTTGTGCACAGCAGCCTGTGCATGTCCTCCCCAGCTCGCTCAGGCCTGACCCACAGTTGTACAAACATGTGCTGTCACCTCAGTCCTAGTGTCAGCCCGTCCAAACAGCTCCTGAAATAGTCTGGGCAGGCTGAACTCAGGGAATTCCCCAGACCCCCCAGCAGCAGTGGGATTGCTGCTGTATCAGGTGTTTTTCTGTGRTTGTTAGAACTGGGACACGCTTTGCCTTTCGTTAGGGAGCAGAGTCGATCTTTGGGATGTTCCTGTGCTTGGTGGAAGAACTCTTTGTCCCCAAAGCTTAACTCTAGAACATCCTCATTTTGCAGCCTCTGAGATCCTTAAGGTTCAGCTCCATGCGGATGGGAGAGCTGAGCTTCAGCAACAGCTTTGGCAAAGCAAAGGGTGAGCAGAACCTGGTCCAGAGCCTGGTTTTGTTTGTGTGTTGGTGGCTGTTGCCTTGTGACTCACTGTCCAGTTGCTTCCTGGGTCCAGTTGATGTTCCCATCACCTCTGAGCCTGGCAAGCCCATGGCACACATAGCACAGGAGCTAGGGAAGGCAGATCCAAGGGAGCTTCTGCTCCCTGTGTGCACTGCCAGGCTCCAGTGGTGCTGCAGCTGCTGCCTCCCACCTTTCCTCGCAGATCCTGTGGGAGCAGCTGCTTTACCAGCRGCCAAATGCTGTCCTCCATCCTCGTGGTGCTGGCAAGAGGCTTCCCAGCTTTCCTGCCAGCTCCTCTGCCTCAACAGCACAGGCTTGTTGCCACCTTACCATTTAATTATTACCCACACCAAAATACCTCCAGGATTTGTCCTCTTGATGAGTACAGAGCAGCCTTTACAGGCTCATCCTTGGGTTCAGCTGAGTGACAGATCTCCTCATGCGTGTGTATCGCGCATCGACCGCTATCAGATCGTGGGTGTCCATGTTTGCATCTGTGTGTTTTCCTGTTGTTTTTCTCCCACTGTGAGCTGTGGCCTGCCTTCATTTGGTTGAGTAAACCCACTGTGTTGCTGAACTGTAACGAGACAGCGCTGACTGAGCTGTATCYTTCAAAATGGCACGTTCCCGATCCTGGAAGAGTGGGATTTGCTGCGGTGCCCCCCGTGCAGGGCACACTTCTGCTGCTGTTGGCCAGCACGTGCCCAGGTGTCAGGAAGGCTGTGGTGTGGCCACGAGGCCCGGGCAGTGGCTGTCCCCTGTGATGGGTGTGGCTGAGGCCACACCTTGAATTCTGTGGTCAATTTTGTCCCCTCACAATCAAGACCTTGGAGGGCTGGAGCATGTCCAGAGAAGAGAACAGAGCTGGGGAAAGGTCTGGAGCACAGATCTGATGAGTAACAACTGAAGGAGCTAGAGTGGCTCAGCCTGAAGAAAAGGAGGCTCAGGAGGGACCTTCTTGCTCTCCACAAGAAGGAGGGGGTGAGGCTCTGCTCCCAGGGAACATGGACAGGACAAGAGGAAATGGCCTCAAGTTGTGCCAGGGCAAGTTTAGTATGGGTGTTGGGAAAAAATTCTCCACCAAAAGGGCAGTCAGATATTGGCTGCSCAGGGCAGGTGGAAGTGTTCAGAAGACCCCTGGATGTGGCACTTGAGGACACAGTTTGGTGGTGGGCTTGGCAAGTGCTGGGGCAATAATTGGGCTTCAATTCCAGCAGTTTTTTCTATTCTATAGTTCTATAATTCTGTGATTCTGATGCCTACCTGCTTTAAGGATCCCTGGATTTAACTGCCTTTTACTTCTAGGTTGTCAAAAAAAGGGGCAAAAGGAGTGGTGAAAAAACAACCCCGACCAAAACAGTTGAGGGTGTCAAGGGATGGGAAAACATCCTGTGAAAATCAACTCTTCTGCAGGGGAAGCAAAGGGCTGTGACTGCATGGTGGCTTCCCCTGGCACAGCATGATCCAGCYGTTGTGGCAGTGTGTTCCTGCAGCACTGATGCCCTTTCCCTTTCCTTGGTGCAGTGGCTCTGAAGAATCGTGGTGCCAGAGAAGCCCAGAGGGATGGAGACTGTGGCACTGGACCAGCACTGGGCTCGGCAGCAGTGCCAGAGGGTGAGCTGCTCCTCCAGGTTAGTGCTCCTCACAAATGCCTTTGGGGGAACTTACTATTGTCCCTCTTCCATCTCCTTGGAGTTTTTACCCTGAAACCAGACTGTTYTGTTACTGAGGGCAGGTGATTTTTGTGATTTTGTGATTTGTGATTTCATGTGCTGTAGCTCTCTTTGCTTCTGACTGGGCAGAGGTTTCAGACCTCTAAAGGTCCCTGGGGCAGAAACTGTGTCGCTTCTTTCCTGCTTTCCCCACTGTTCCKGGAAAAAAATTTCCATCGGTAAATATCCACATGTAAGGAACATCTTGCTGGATTTCTGAGCATGGAGATTCATCTTTTCTGCTTCTCCACTCTCATGTGTGACTGTGCCAGAGGTGTAACATGGGAACCAAACAGTGCAAGGCATTCAAGTGAGGTTTTCAACAGGGGCACACTGATTCTGACTCAAAGATACTGTCCAAACCCTGGTGAAAACAGGGAATAAAATGTCCTGGAAGTCTGTGAGCACACAGATAGGAGCTGATGTGCCACATGCTCATCCCTTAAACACAGGGTAGGTGAGTGTATCCCAGGAGCTCTGTTTTTCCCCAGTGGGCTCCTTTGGTGATGCTGGAGACAAGACTGGAGCATACTTGGCTGAGCCTTCAGCTGCCATGGTTTGTTCAGAGATGCCAGAAGGTCATTTCTGTCCCCATGGTTTGTTCAGAGATGCCAGGAGGTCATTTCTGTCCCCACGGTTTATTCAGAGATGCCAGGAGGTCATTTCTGTCCCCACGGTTTATTCAGAGATTTCAGGAGGTCATTTCTGTCCCCAGACTTCTGTGCAGTGGACAGGGAGAGGTCAGGCTCTGGCAGAATGAGGTCCTGCAAGGACACCAGTCTCCTGTCCCCTCCCTGGCACCCAGGTACAGGCTGTGGCACTATTCCCTGCCYGCCTGGCACACAAGTACAGGCTGTGGCACTGTCCCCTGCCTGTCTGGCTGTCCTCCAGCATGGGCTGAGCATGCTGGGCAGCCCCAGCTCCCGTGCAAACGCTCACTCAGCACGAAGTGTAATTACTGTGCTGCCTCAGAGCTGAGGATCTCTGTGTCTGGTGAGACAAGTGCTAAAGCCAGGCTGGTAATAACCAAAAGCTGAGGATTTTCCCTCAGGATATAACAAAACTTCTCAGCAGGGCTTGCAGGGGGTTAATGTTCTCCTCACCAACTTGTCCTACAGCTGGGTGCCTCCTTTTAGAGGTTCCAAAATGGGTGTTAAAAGCTCTGGGTGTAGGTTTGGCTCTTTCAGGAGTCCATCTGTGTGACCCTGGTTGTGGCAGGACCTCAGCATCCATCCGTGCCTCAAACAAACATTCCTGCATGCTATAAACCTACATCCACCTGGTCTGTCACCTCTGATGGCCAGACTTTCTTTGTCTCTTGGTCCACTCTGATTCTTCCCCTCTYCTACTCCGGAGCTGCTCAAAGGGTTAAAGTGCATTTGGCAGCACTAATTAACCTCTGCAGCAGATTCCCACACACTGAGATCAACCCCAGTAAATAGAGAGAGTGTTTGTGCCCGGAATAAAGGGAAGGAGAGGGGGGAGAAACCCTGACCTGGACAATGGAACAGGACTTGGCAGCAACAATAGCTGGACTTGGCTGAGCCTGCATGCCAGACCCTAATTAATGCTGATGGCTGTACATTATGGAGTGGGGGAGGCAGGCCAGGGCTGGCTACTGAGGTTTCCCTGCCAGGTTAGTGGTGCAGGATGGTTTTGGCTYTGAAAAGCCATAGGACCCACACTGCAGGGGTCCTGCCTTCCAGAGGGTTTCTGCTTGGTGCTGCCAGAGTGTCCCCAKGGAGATCTGCTGCCCTTTAGGAGGGGTGGCCATGTGGTGGGATCAAGGCAGTGAAAGCTCTTTAGCTTCTGGGAAAATAAAYCAGTGATTTTCATGGGTTTTCACTGCCTTTGCTCCGAGGCAGCATCATGGGTTTGAAGGTGTCTACTGGGTGACTCTCAGGATTTTCAGAGTTGGGGAAACTGAGTCACAGAGTGATGCCTGCCAGCTGGCCTCACAGATTACCACTGTGGGCCTGCTCTCAGCCCTGGCAGGGGATGACAAAGTGTCCAAAGCTCTGRGCTCTGTGCTACAGAGGCTTGCAGAGGTCAGTGCTGCGCCTGCAGCACTTGAGGATGTTTCCCTGGATCCTGCAGTGCCTGAGTCAGGAATATTGCTGTGCCTGTTAGCCTGTTGGCTGCTGCCTGGTGCCAGAGGGCAGGGTTGCAAARCCAGGGTTCCTGGAAAGTGGCTGCGCTCCCAGACTGGTAGGGAAGCTGTTCTGCACCTCCTAGGTTTTTTTAGGCTGTTGGAAACCTCATTTCCACCAGAATAAACCAGTTCCTGATGGTGTCCACTTTCATTCTGCAAGCARTTCAGAGGTTTTTATTTGCTCCCTGCATAGGATCAGTATAAATGTCCAAAGCTGAGTGTGAGTGAATGCTCCCAGGATGGAAGCACAGTTTTCCATCAATTTGGATTAGGGTATTCTTGGGCAGCTACATGGAAGAGCTTCATTACCTCAGAGAGACCATCTGTGGTGGCTCAGCTGCATGCTGGCTGGGCCAGCCRGGCTTTGAGTGACCAGTGTCCTGCTGGAAAAGGGATGTGAGCGTGGTGTGATTGATCTCTCTCCCACAGGCGCTCAATGGCTTCGTGCTGGTGGTGACATCAGAAGGGCTGATATTTTACTCCTCTCATACCATCCAGGACTACCTGGGATTTCATCAGGTTGGTGACACTCTGACTTGCTGCGAAGAGTCGATTTTTCCTTTGTGGTGGTGAACAGCCCCAGGTTCCCTACAGTGATCACAGGGGGCTGTTTGAGGCTTTTCCTTGTTTTTGGGAATTTGGATCCCGTACTGGCAGACATGGTCAYTGATAGGTGACAAGGGACTTCATCAGGCCGTAGATACTTTCCACCAGCCACACTGATATCACTTCATGGGGCTCATGGCCATGGTGAGATGCCTGGGGTTCCTTGCCCTGTTTGCCTTGGGCACGCATTCAAATCMTGGTAAATCCCACAAGGCTTCAGTGCTTTGGGCACCTGATAACCTGGAAGGCACTAGGTCAGATTTACAGGGGCCTGCAGTCCTTCAGCTACTCTGGTTTGGTGTTATCCACACACAGCTGGCTTTCCCCAGCACCTGAGGCAGAGGGAGCAAGTCCTAGGGCATCATTCTCTTGGGAACAGTGTAGGGATAGGATGGTCTTGGTGTTGTTTTTTTTCCCAAATCCGTGTTTTCATCTCATCTCCTAKGTCAGCACTAGGATTTTGAGTTTTGGGGATATCAGAGGGAAGCTSTATTGGCTCTTTAGGCTTGTGGGGGGAGGAAGCCAGGCCCARCATGGRCAAGGGRTCCTTAAAGCCAGAGGTGCTGTCTRTTCTCACCAGCTCTGGGCAAAGTTTCCAACCTCATTTAGGCAGGGACCCATTTGAGCACCAGGGAAAGTGGGTAAGATAAAACCATCTGGGGCTGTGCCAAGGTGTTCCTGGTGGCACTGGGGACAGGCTGCAGAGCCCACGGGCTATGTTTCCCCTCCAGACAGATGTCATGCACCAGAGTGTCTTTGAGCTGATCCACACCGAAGACCAGCCAGAATTCAGGCGCAACCTCCACTGGGCGCTGAACCCGCCGCACGCTGCCGAGGGTGAGCCCGCTCCAGAAGGTAAATGTAGCCTGGCATCCTGGCTGCCATGAGGTCTGTAGCTCCCCAGGGCCACTAAGAGCCCAGCTCCCTGTCACTGCTCATGTCTGTGTGGCTCAGGCCACCCCTTCATCCGAATGTTGGGGCTTTTCCCCGGCTTGCTGTGCTCTGCCCAGTGCTGGGGACCTCCAACCCTCACTAGGGTGAATCCTTGCTTGATCCTCTCTCAGTTCCTCTCTTCCACAGTGGGGAAGAGTCTTGGCTCCTCTGCTGTCACCTACAAGCCAGATCAGCTGCCCCCAGAAAACTCCTCCTTCCTGGAAAGGAGCTTTGTGTGCCGCTTTCGCTGCCTCCTGGATAATTCCTCAGGTTTCCTGGTGAGTACAGACCGTCCACAACAGGAGAGGGGCAGGCTCACCACAGGGGTTTGTGCCACCCTGAAACAAGCTGGCCTTGAAAGACCCAGTGCTCCTTTCTGCCACATGCAGYACCTCTCTGTCTCAGCAAGGAGACTTGCCCTGGTTTTCATAGGTTTGTCYCGTATCTACATCCTCTCCATGTGGGCTTTTTTCTCTTCTCTCAGACATGCTGAATCTTGAACAAAAGCACTTTCCCCCCCGTGTTTTGCTTGTTGTTTTTTTTTTGTTTTGTTTTGTTTTGTTTTTGTTTTTTTTTTTTTTTTTTTTTTTTTTTTTTTTTTTTTTTTTTTTTTTTGTTAAAAGCATGTCTGAAGATCACATAGGTGGTATTCATCCCTCTTCCTCTCTGCACTGGAGAGCACAGGGTGCCCAGAGCAGCTGCGGCTGCCCCTGGATCCCTGGAATTGTCCCAGACCAGGCTGGATGGGGCTTGGAACAGCCTGGAATAGTGGAAGGTGTCCCTGCCCATGGCAGGGGGATTGAGGTGATCCTTAAGGTCATTCCAAACCCAAACCATTCTGTGATTTGATGATTCTGTTTACACCAACTCTGCAGACAGACATCTTGCTTTCTGTGTTGCTCTTCTCCCTTTCTTCCCTCTCCATCCACTTTTCTGCATGATAGTGAGCTTTTCTCCACTTCCCAGGCTTTAAACCTTCAAGGCAGGCTGAAATTCCTTCACGGGCAGAGCAAAAGGTCTGAAGATGGCTCTGCACTGCCGCCCCAGCTCGCTCTGTTCGCCATCTCCACGCCCTTGCAGCCCCCGTCCATCCTGCAGATCCGAACCAAGAACATGATCTTCAGGACGAAGCACAAGCTGGACTTCACCCCCTTGGCGTGCGATGCCAAGTAAGCAGCAGAGCTTCCCGTGCTCCATTCCAGGCATCCCTCCCTGGCTCTGCATCTGAGCTGTGTGTGCTGCCTTTTACAGGGGGAAGATCGTTCTGGGCTACACCGAGGCRGAGCTGCGGATGTGTGGCACTGGGTACCAGTTTGTCCATGCTGCTGACACACTGTACTGTGCTGAGAACCACGTCAGGAGTGAGAGTCCCATCCCTGGTCACTTGTGCCCACCTCTAGGGCTGAGGAGGRGGCTGGGATTAGGGTCTGCTCTGTCAAGCCTGGGGGCTTTTTCCCCATGGGATGCTTTGCTGTGCYACTCCTGTCACTGCAGGCAGTTTGGGCTGGGTGGAGTGTAGGGAGGGGTGGTAGCTGGATGGTGCCATGTTCCTGCTGTTCGCAGCTGGAAGGGGCAGTGTGCCATGGTGACAGCCCTCGTACTTCCTCCCGGCAGTGATGAAGACGGGGGAGAGCGGGCTGACGGTGTTCCGGCTGCTGACCAAGGAGAAGCGCTGGAAGTGGGTGCAGGCCAACGCGCGGCTGGTGTACAAGAACGGCAAACCCGAGTACATCGTGGTCACACAGAGACCCCTCGTGTATGTGCCTGGGCTGGGGTGGGGGCAGCCTGGCTTTTTCCCTCGCTCTGGGATGCCTCTAGCAGGGCAGGATGTTGGATTTGTCATTTCTGCCTGTGCCTTTTAAAGGAGCAGCTGTGGGATTCTGTGCTGCATGCCGTTCAGCCKCATTCCCCTCTGCAAGGCCACCCCACAAGCATGGGGTGATGCTTGATTGTGCTGTGGGTGTTTGTTTCATGTGTGTGTGGTTTATGTGTGAATGCACGGTGGCTTGTAGCAAAGAGGCTTTGGCTTGCAGGGTTCACAGTTCCCCATTGCAGCAGCACTTTGTGGGGTGGGTTTGTGCATGTCAGCCACAGTCTCCTCTTTTTGCCCCGCAGAGATGAAGAAGGAGGCGAGCACCTTCGSAAACGGTCCCTGCATCTTCCCTTTACCTTTGCTACAGGAGAGGCACTCTTGTACCAAAGCGCTCAGCCTCTGCCGGGCTTCCCCGCTCCTTTCCAGAGCAAAGGGAAAGCCAGCAAGTCCAAGAAGCCCTCGTGCAACCGTGGAGGGTGCTCCCAGCAGAACCCCAGCTCTCTGCTGAGCACYGTGGGGCGACAGGACAAGGCAGCGTACGCCTCTCACCCAACTCCCACTCCTTCCTTCAGCAGCAGATTCCAGCTCGGGGATGGGTCCTTACCAGAAGCAGAAGGGGATGCCTGGAGTATGGGCACTGCTCCAGTTTCTTCAAGGGGGAGCAACCTCAAGGAGGAGCTGCTGCATTTGCAGCAGGAGGACCCTCTCTTGGCCACCCTGGACTCACTCTCAATTAAGAGTGACGAGAGCTGTTCCAACAACGAGCTCTTCAGTGCTCTGGAGGGCCTGGGCTTGAATGCTGAGGACCTGGAGCTCCTGCTGCTGGATGAGAAAATGGTGATGGTCAACATGGAGCTGGATTCATCCCTGCCCCTGAACGACAGCCTGGCCAGCAACCAGATTGTCTCGTACATCCACAGCCCTCCTGTGAGCGAGCAAAAGGGAGGGCAGCAGGTCTGTCCCCTGCCAGGCACAGCCCCGAGCCCACAGGGAGGCAATGCCCAATGCCACATGGAGAACAAGGACTYGAGGTACTTGCCCAGCACTGCCCTGGGCCAGTCCCTGGTCCCGCTGTGGGAACAGCCCCTCRGTGCTGTGCCAGGGCTGCTCCCGGGGCTGGCTGAGCAGCAAGAGCCCTCGGGTGACTCGCAGTGGAGACCGGCCAGGGAGGAGACTCTGCTCCGCTTCCAGCAGCTGCAGGGTGGCTTCCCAGCTGTGCAGCCCCTCCACCAGGATGGCCACCAGTCCTTCTCCCTGCCCAGCCAGTGCCAGGACCACGCGGCACTGCCCAGGTGGCCGAAACACCATCCCTTGCTGATGAATGGGGTGTGTGGCCACTGCCCCAGCTCCCCTCCACATCACCTCCCCAGCTCCAGCCCCAGCCCCAGCCCATGGCAGGACTATGTTTCCCCACTCCTGGGGTCTCCAGCTCAGGCTGGCTTTTATGGCACCAGCCAAGACTTGCTCTCGCAGCACCAGGGCTGCTTTGGCCCCAGTGTGCCCCCACAGCACTTTAACCTGAACGGATTATGCACCACGGAAGCTGCAGGCTCCCAGGAAGAGCTGGCTCCATACCCCAGGTTTTTCCTCCCTTCGTCCCAGCTCATTTCTGAAAAGCAGCTGARCCCTGCTCCATCTGTACCCCAGCACCCTTTCCCCAGCTCAGCCACAGGGCACTTGGGGAATATCAGCAGCCCTATGGAGACTCTGAATTGCTATGGGACGCACACCTCTGCACTGAGCCAGGAGGGCAGGCACAGGGTAAGGCCTTTCTCCTCTCTGGGTTTGGTGTTTTCTGAGCTGGCAATCTGCCCAAGTAGCTCTCATAACCCCTGCAAAGTGTCTCACTGCTCTTGTCTCTCTCTCCTAGCCCCACAGCAGCTGTGGTTTGCCCTGCTCTCCCRTGGGATTGCCCCAAGACCACCAGATGCTGGGGGGAAGCCTGGCACCACCCTGCCAGCCTCAGCTCCGGGCAGAAGTGCTGCCAGATCACCCTCACACCTCCAGKGGGGACTTCTGTCTTTAGGGATGACTGGATTGGCCAAAGCAGGACTGTTCCCTGGGGAAGGAGGTGCCTTCAAGCTGCACATAACAAACTTTCCCCGCTGCTGTCACATCCTGCCGGTGCTATTGATGTTGGTTGCTTTGGCTCACCTGGGTGTTTTTGCCCTTTTTTTCGACTTCCCACTATCGTGCTTGTTCCTGTGGAGATGTCCCTGGCCTGGGGARGCACAGYAGCAGGCAGCTGGGCTGAAGGACAGCTTTCCMAGGGTAATGGAGCAAGTTGAGCTGTGGTTGCAGGTCAGCCCATGAATGCAACCAAAGCTTCACCAAAGCTTTGCATTTACATGCACGATCCAACATGGATACGAGACTGATGTGTCCTAAAAAAAGAGCCAGAAAAGTTTTTCAACTCTGGTATTAAATTTCCTGCCATTCCAGCCAGATATTGACCACATGGTACAGATATTGCCTGTTTTATAAAGACAATGAGCCATGTTTTGGTTCGTGTGTTGCTTTGGTTCTTCCCCCACCCCAGCTTTCCCCATTTCCCAGCGGGTGTTCCCAGTGTTTGGGATCCAGGTTAGAGCTCCTGTAGCAAAAACCCATGCCCAGGCTGGCTGCTAAGCTGATTATCTCTGGGTGGTGGCCTCTGAGGTATCTTCAGACTTCAAGTGTCAAAGTTTTCAGTTAAAAAAAAAAAAAAAAAAAAAAAAGAAAATTTCAGGAAAATTAAGAAAATAAGTATAATGATAATTGTAAGTACTGAGAGAGTGGTATTTTCCCGCAGACAAAAAAAAAAAAAAAAAAACAACCTACAGCCTGTATGTGTGTTCATAATATGAGTTGACAGGTGTATTTTTCTGCCACTCCAGTGCAAGAAAAAAAMCAACCTCTCACCATCCCAAAGCAGCATCCTGTGGGGTGGGATGGGATGAAGAGGCTGTTGAAAAGATCAGGGACACAGTGACCCTTTAAAAAACCTGACAAAGCTCATCCCTCCTCCTGCTTGTCCGGCTTTGGCTTCATGTGAATGCCTATTGTTTTTGTTTCAATAAATGGTTTTGGAGCTCATCCCTGCTGTCCCCCTTGCTGGATGTGTCTCTTCCCAATCTGGAGCGTGGCAGGGTTTGCTGGCTGCAGCACTGGAGCCCAGGGCTTGCCACTGCTGACCTGGCACACAATGGGTTGGGTTGGAAGGGATCCTTTGGAATGCACACTGTCCATCTGCCAGCTCCTGCCATGGATGTTTGAGAGGCACGGAGAAAGTGACAGAGAAGGGTGAGTGTTTAACAAAGCATGTGCAATATTTATATTAATAATAATAATAATAATAATAATAGAATATGTAAAGATAAATATCTATTATGTTAGTGTGTAGCTATATACAGATCAATTGAAATGTACTGTGTATGCATTTCTAAAGTGTATGTGTAATAGAAAACATCTTTTAAGACAAATTAGCTGATTTTTTCCCCCTGCACTGTTGTTTTTCAACCTGGAAATGAGAAAAARCACAGGTTTGTGTTTTCTGAATGCTGTCTTTTCCAGCATTCGCACCTCTACTCAACACCTGCTTTTCCTTAGCAAAACAAGRCAGTTTCGTAACATTTCTCAATTTTGATGGAAATATGCTGGGAGTATTTGATCTTTTATGTTTTCTGTGCCCTACTGTTTTTCCTCCCTTTTYCTTCAGAGGAGGTGGCTCTGGGCAGCACCACCCACGCTGAGGAGGATGGAGGGACGGCACCAGAGCATCCCTGTGGCTGCAGGTCAGTGACTGCAGTGAAACCCAGATGCTGAGCACAATCTGAGCACTGCCAAACCTCCTGAGCCAGCTCCTGCATGTGTGGGCAGCCATACCGTGGCCATCTGCCCTGCTGGGCTTCTCTTTTTCTTTGCCCCATGTCTCCAGAGCAGCAAGAGCTCCCCAGCAGTGCAGGTGACCTCGGGAGAGGTGCAGTCCTGCTGGCTGTGTCACCAGGGCGCTGTGTTTTAGCGGAGCACAGCATGAATTCTTCCAGCACTGTGTTTCTGTGAGGTCTGTGGAGCACAAGCCGTGGTTTCTGTGCAGGGAGGTGCACTCTGCTCCAAAAGTAGGCTGGCACATCCATAATTCATGGCCATCCTCACGCCAGCTGCTGCCTGTCCTCCCCTGAGCCTTGTGTTTTTTGACACACTGGGCTGGCCCAAGGAGCCGGCTGGAGGAAAACTTCCTGCTGCAGCAAAGGAGAAGCCTCTGTTCATCATCCGTGGGGCACATTGATCCCAGAGAGCTGGATGAGGCTGAGGAGGGTGTGAGGAAAGAGTTTGGGGAGATTTTAATTCATAGAATGTCCTGAGCTATCAGGAAGGATCACTGAACTCCCGGCCCTGCACAGGACAGTTCCAAGAATCACACCGTGTGCTCAGATTTGGGGATTTCTGTGTAGCTCGAAGCTCTAAGGGCAGGAAGAGCTGTGGTGCCTCCTTTTAGCAGGCAAGATTTATGTATGGAGGAGTGGGAGGCAGAAAGCAGAGGGCATTTGTTTTTCTCTGCCTCTTTTTCCTTTCCCTTAATGCCTGCTGTTCTCCTAAATGGCAGCAGCCAGGACAAGGAGCTGTGAGACACAGCCTGCAGCAAAAGGGGGTTCCTGTCTCGAGCCAGCTGGGAGAGGTGACATCTGATCCTGACTGCATCCACGAGGCTGAAAGCACTGGTCCCCATCACTGAGGCCATCCCTGGGTGTCTCTCAGGCCCCAAGGCAGCAGACAGCAAGGTAAATATTGCTTTAAAAGCTCAGCCTGGTGTTTGCCCACATTACCTACGTGCTCCATCCATTATAGATAGGGGCCGGAGCCAYGGGCAGCAGAGCAGAACACTTTGTKATGGTTCCTGCATTAAATAGAGATGAAGGAGGATGTGGGGAGCTGGTGTTTGTTCACACCTGGCCTGTGTCCGGGTGTGCAGGCAGCAAAGTGCTGCCTGCTGCTCAGTGCCAGAGCCGTGCTGAGTGCCTGCTGTGGGCCACAGGAGAGCCATGGACTGGTGCTGCAGCCTGGCATGGGAAGCTTGGGTGTGAAGGTAACCAGTGTATTCCTGAAAAGCAGCTAAAAMACCCTTCAACTTGGTTTCAATAATTTTAAAAAACAATTTAGACAAATCATAAAGTCTCYTAATAGGCAGGTGCTTCAGAACATCAGAATTGGAGCTGCCACTGCTGAGTGAAGTGGCCAGCCATTTACACAACTTTGTGTGCCCATGGTTTTCCAGCACTATGRACTTTAGATAGGAGTCATCTGCCCCCCCCCAAAAAAAAAAAATATTCGTGTATCTTTTTGATAGATCCAAAGACTTTTCAAGCCTGTCTGGAAAGATCTAAAGGATGATGGAGCACATGAACCATCATCCTAGAAGGAAGGACCAGCTCATGACTAGCAGGTACTTTGGAATAATGGGATTGTTGTTTTTATTATTATCATCATTATTTTACTATTCCTCCTTGTCCTTTTACTCTAGGCCCTTGTCCCAAGTCCCTCTCTATTTCTSTTGGAGCCCTTTTAGGCACTGGCAGGCTCTAAAAGGAATGTTTTTAGCTCCCATTTAATTATTTTACACTGAAACTTACTTCAGGTTCCTTGATGGGTTTAGAGCAATTTCTATTTTGTATTCCTTACCTTCTGCTGCCATATTCAATTCTATTTTGTATTCCTTGCCCTCTGAATCCTGCCTCTCCTCTTGCCAGTCTWGTGGGCGCCAGCACAGGGCTCGGGAGGCAGAGCAGGAGCTCCATCCCTGCCTGGCATTGATTCACCGATGAGCACTGTCCTTTGGCAGCTGTGAGGAGCTCCTGCCCTTGCTAACACATGTACCATTGTTATTGCACTGCTGATGCCTCCCAGATGTCTTTCCAGGGCTGTTTGATGTCACGGTGTCCCATCGCTGCTTTGTATTTTGCCATCCCCCCAGTCCTTAATTCCTCTTTTCCTGGCCAGCTGTGGTTGCTAAACTTTCAAGTGATTGCTCAACCCTAAACACATCTGGGAGGATTTCCAAGCTGAACAGGTGGACTGAGTGTCACATCTACCTTGCCCAGTGTTCTGTGCTGGTGCTGGGTTCCAGCCCCAGCTGTTGCAGCCATCTCTGGTGGGCTTGGCTCTCCAGAGTAGGAAATGGCTTTTTCAAGCTTGCCCAAGAACAGTTTGCACCTCTGAGCCTGCTGCCTCCTCACAGGGTGTTTGATGCCAGAAATCCACTTGGCTTGAGKTTGAAATCCCTTCAGTGTTAAAAATCCCAGCCCAGGCTGATGGTGGCCTGGCCACACAAGGGGAAGGGAGTTGAGGGAGAAGCAAATCCACTTGCACCTTGGCCTTCTGCACAGCCAATAGCTGGGATTACTGTGCAGAGCAGAGCCTGGCAGTGAAGGATCAGACAAACAAGTGATTCAAGTTCTGCACACAAAGTGGAGGAGCTCTGAGCTGGATTGAGCTGCACATCTACCTCAGGGACAGAAGGGACACCAAGCTTGTGAGGCCAGTGCTGTGCCAAGCAGCCTGGCAAGAGCCTGCCTTTTGCTCAGATCCTGTTCAGACCACTTCCCGGGGGTGAATGGGGAGGGTTATTTGAGCTCATTTGTGGAGCTAGCAGCCCCATTGGGCTGGACTCTCCTGAGGTGCTCGCTGCATTGCAGTGAGCCTGTGTGGCTCAGTTAATGCCAAAGAGATATCAGCTTCATTTTCCCTGGGTGACTTGGCTCGGGACAGGAGCCCCTGCTTCTCTTCACCTGCCTCTGGAGAAGAAGCAGGGTTTATGGGTTTGATGCTGGGGTTTASAGGTTTAATCCTGCCTTCGAGTACTTGCCTACAGCTTATTTTGGAGTTGTTTTCCCAAGGTSTCCATGTGCCTGTCAGCAGCTGCTCAGGGTTCTTTTTCCCAGTGCAGGCAGGAAAGGAGYACTCCTGGAGCATGGTGGGGTACGGATGGTGCAGAAGGATGGGCCAGCCTGGCCTGGAGAGGGGCCCCTCTCCTTTGACAGRGGAAGCTCAGSCTTCTCTTTCCCTTCAGCAGGACTGAAGTTCCTGTGAGACAGGGGAAGCTCAGCCTTCYCTTTCCCTTCAGCAGGACTGAAGTCCCTGCAGTGAAGGAGGCTTTGAAGAAACACGGAAGAGAGGCCAGGCAAGAGTGTAGCAAGCTGGGAGAGGAACAGGCCGAGCATTATCCATGCTGGCCACGCTCCTGTGGAGGTAATCTCATAGTTATTTTAGTCTCCAGCTGGGATGCAGCTCTGATCCCAGCTTTTGCAATATCCTGCCAAGCCCAGGCTCCAAATCTGCCCTTGCTGGCTCTGAGCAAGGCGGGACCGCGTGGTGAGAACTGCCAGCATCAATCGAGGGGAAAGAACTTTACTCTGCTCCCTATGCTGGGTGTGCATTTTTGTGCCTTGCTGTCCATTTCGGGGCTCCTGGGAAGGGGCTCTGGACATTGGGCTTGGTTGCTTGGTTTGGTTTGGTTTTTTTTCTCCCTCCATAATATGCAGATTTAAAGACAAAACTGCAACATTTGGATCTGCACCCTATGCTGAGGAGTTCCTTGCTCCCTAAAACCATCCCATAAAARCATGGGATCTCTTTCTCATGGGAGATGCTTGGTTTGGGTCTGCATCCTGGAAATACATGAGGAGGCTGCAAAGAAACTTAAATCTGACTTCTCCCTGTTCCTCAGCAGGGCTAGCTGCTCCTCCAGCTGTATTTCTGTACCATCCTTAGTCTGGAATAAGTTACAAGGATCAGATCTGGACACACTGGCTACTTGCTATGGGTGGCTTCAATCTCTCTGATAACCTCAGCGATGCTTCTCAAGCAGCAAGGCTGGGTTTAATCAGCTGCAACTGCTGCAGGTCCTCAGATGCCCCAAGGATTTGAATCCTTGCCCAGTTTTAACAGGACAGTGCTTTGATTTGGTGGGTTCTCAGAGCTGGATCAACCAACACTCGTTGCAGTTTGGTTTACTTCTTTGTTTTCAGGGTGGAAAAGGAAAACCCAGCTGCTTTGGGGGGAAAGGGAGGATGGAAAGGCCTTGGTTTAAAGCAACCTTTGCTTTCCTAGCTAAGTTGCTTAAGGAAGGGAAGTCTCCACATCTTTTGAAATAGATTAAGTGTGGCTCCAGGCGCCATTGTGGAGAGCCAGCGCTGTAAAAATGCAGATTCCAGGGAAAGCCTTATGCACTGTGACAATTTAAAGTACCCCCGAAGGGCGTTCACTCAGGCAGAAACACACTTTATTTGGAGCATATTATG